CGCGGCGGCCGGAAGCGCTGGGCGCTCACGAGCGCTCCCCCCACCCGGCCAGTTCCGGCAACTGCCGCGGCGCAGCCGCCGCCATCGGCGTCACGAGACCAAGCGGCGCCGCCCTCCGCGCTCGAGCCACAGGACGGCGGCGGCGCAGAGACATGACGCAAACGGACAGAGGGCCGGGCGGAAGTGGCGTCAGACCGACCCCTCAAGACTGCGCCTCCTCGCGTCGCGGGGTTGCCTGGCAACGTTTCCCCCTGCAGGGATGGGCCCCCCCCCACGGCCGTGTCCCATCCCTACGAGGCCTGTGCCCCCCATCCCCGTCAGTCTGTGCTCACCCTGCCCCCCCCAGGCCTTCAAACGGTCTTCGCCCCCTTTCCAGCTGGCCCTGGAACGTAATTCACTGTAACATGGGGGGCAGGAACCACCCCAGGAACAAGGGGAACTACACCAATACAGGGAAGCGAATTCAAGGGAAATTAAAAGACAGTCACAAGAGTGAAATGCCTGCACCACCCTAGAGGCGCAACCAATATGTATTAGCCCCCCCTCCCCCCCCCAAAAAACCCCAAAACAAAACAGAAAAAGGATTAAAAAAAAGCCACTGTGGCTAAACAACAGAGTAAAAGAAGGGGCTAGAGGCAAAAAGGAATTTTTTAAAACCTCGAAGTCTAATCCTACTTAGGAAAACAGAAAGGAGCATAAACTCTGGCAAGTCATATGTGAATAGGGTGACCAGATAGAAAGTGTGAAAAATTGGGACGGGGTGGGGGGTAATAGGCACCTATATAAGAAAAATCCCCAAATATCAGGACTGTCCCTATAAAATCGGAACATCTGGTCACCCTATATGTAAAAGTATAATTAGGCAGGACAAAAACAAATGTGAAGAGCAACTAGCAATAGATACAAAAACCGACAGCAATTAAAAAAAATAGTACATCAGAAACAAGCAGCCTGCCAAAAAATCAGTAGAGTCACTGGGCAATCGAGGTGCTAACGGAGCACTCAAGGAAGACAAGGTTGTTGCAGAGAAACTAAATGAATTCTTTGCATCAGTCTTCACTGCAGAGGATGTGACCGAGATTCCCACACCTTTTTAGGTGACAAATCTGAGGAACTTTCCCAGATTGAGTTGTAAATAGAGGAGGTTTTGGAACAAACTGAAAATTCAATATATTGGTAAATGTAAAGTAATGCACGTTGGAAAACTTAAACCCAACTGTACATACAAAATGATGGGGTCTAAAATTAGCTGTTACCACTCAAGAAAGCGATCTTGGAATCATCGTGGATAGTTCTCTGAAAACATCTACTCAAAGTGCAGTGACAGTCAAAAAAGCTAGCAATCTTAGGAACCCATAGGAAACAGATAGATAAGACAGTAAATACCATAATGCCACTATATAAATCCGTGGTACACCCACACACTGAATACTGCGTGCAATTCTAGTCACCTATCTCAAAAAAGATATATCAGAATTGGAAAAAGTCCAGAGAAGGGCAACAAAAATGAATAGGGGGATGGAACAGCTTCCATATGAGGAAGAGATTAAAAACACTGGCATTGTTCATCTTGGAAAAGAGACAACTAAGGGGGAATATGATAGAGGTCTATAAAATCATGAATGGTGTGGAGAAAGTAAGTGTTACTTACCCTTTCACATAACACAAAAACCATGGGTCACCCATAGAAATCAATGGGCAGCAGGTTTAAAACAACAAAAGAAAGTATTTCTTCATACAACATACAGTCAACCTGCAGAAGTCATTGCCAGGGGATGTTGTGAAGGCTAAAAGTTTAACGGGGTTCAAACAAGAATTAGATATGTTTATGGAGCATGTTAGCTGTTAGCCAAGATGGTCAAGGATGCAACCCTATGATCTGGGTATTCCTAAGTCTCTGATTGCAAGAAACTGGGACTGGATGACGGGATGGATCACTCGCTAATTGCCCTGTTCTGTTCATTTCCTCTGAAGCATCTGTCACTGGCAGCTACTGGAAGACAGGATACTGGGCTAGATGGACCATTGGTTTGAGCCCATATGGCCATTCCTATACACACAACCCACCCCCTGATGTGCATCCCATACCTCTCTCCCCATGAGGCCTGCATCCCCATGGTTCCCAGCCTATGTGCTCCATCCCTAGGGTTACCACCTGGCCAGCGTTTGACTGGCCTGGCCGTTTTTTTTTATGGTTTTCCAGTTGTTAGAAAAATAATTTAATCTGCCTTTTTTTTAACGTGGGCCTAAAGGTTTGCATTATTACCACAATAAACTGGAATATCTAATGTTAAAAGATTCTCTGTCCAGCTAAAGATGCAGTGCTCTCACTTCCACAGTTTAAGCAATAACAGATGAAAACTATTGAAAATACAGCAGCTGTCTGCCGACCAACACTCAAGCTCACCACACGTGTGTATGTGAGAGAGGGTTTGATTCATGCGAGAGTGAGGAGACGTGTTATGTTATCAATCTATATGTGTTCTCTCGCTACATACTATGAGTGGCTGTTGAAGGGGAGGGGGCTGCAGAGTTGCCTTATGGTTGGGGTTGTGGCGGGCTTTGTGTTATGGGGGAGAGAGGGTGCCGGGTTTTTTGCGTTTCAAAGGTGGTAATCCTACCCATACCCCACCCTCCCCCATGAGCCTGCCCCACATGCTCAGACACCAGGAGCCAGGCCTCCAAAATCCCAAGATTGGCTTAAAACTCAGGAACTGTTAGGAAAACAAGCATGTTGGCTCTGGGCTGTGAGCCCATTCGGTGCACTCAGGCCACGGCTCAGACACATTGGCTAGAGCCTTTTCTGCCTGCTCTTAAATGAAAGTCAAGATTTTCAGGCATCCTACGAACTTGGGAGTGGTGGCTTGAAGGACATCATCGAACTTCACAGGAATGCTTCACAAACATAAATTAACCACAGTGAGATAAGGTTCCCCAACCTCGGTGAGATAAAGGTGGGATTATCCTCTTCCCTTTACAAACGGGGAACTGAGACACAGAGATATTAGTGTCAAAAGTATATGCTAATTTGATTAAAAAGTCCATGGCCTGATTTTTCAGAGAATTTAGCACTTTGTTCCAAGCACAACTCCCGTGGACTTCTGTTGCAACTGTGAGGCCCCAGCACTTCTGAAAATCAGACCCCAGGTTCTCATGCTGAGCACCCAGAAAATGAGGAACCACCCCAGGAAAGTTTGGTTTAAATGACTTGCTTAGCATCACATAGGAACTCTAGCAGATGCAAGGATAGAATCAGGAGTGACACTCAACTGCCTAAATCACAAGACCATCCTTTCTCTTCCTGAAGTCCCCTGCCTGGTCCACAATGCACCTTTCAACGACTGCAACAAATAAGGCAGGAGTCCTAATAGACATCTTCATTCTCCACACAACCCTGATTTGTTTCCTGAACGCTGACCATATTGTGCGCTAACTGAGACAGGGGTCCTGTGGATGTGATCATGGAAAGACTATTATAATGAATGCACACAAGAGAGACGAATTACGGTTGTACAGGCCACCTTGGTTCTGGCATTTCCTAACTTTGGAGTGGTTGACTTTGCAGCTCTGTGTATATATAATTTCCTATGTTTTTAAAAGAGCAAACTGAAAAAAACCCCAGACGTTCCAGCATTTGGAACCATATTGACTCCATGTGGTCATCAGCAGGGTTAGAACCTTTAGATCCACACACAGACCTCTGCTGGAGCTAACAGAGTACCTGGTATCAGTAGTAGTCATCATCCATCCTCTATGTAGGCCAGCCACTAGGACATGAGGCACATATTTTACCCCTGGGTTTCCAGCTATTTGCTGACAGCTGAGGAATGTTACGACTCAATAAGCCTGAGTTCTACACTATGTCCTGAGAGAAATGTACTCAAGTGGTTACAGGACAACCCCCTAGCTCCCGCTCAACTCCTCATCCCAGTTCCAGTGTCCACCCTCTTTCTGGCTCCGTATCCCAGCCCCAGCGCCTCACCTCTGTTGATCTGAGCCAGGCTTCCTCCTCCTCCTCCTCCTCACTGAGTGGGTGTAAGCGGGGGAGCATTTAGAGCACAGGAGAGACAGTCCCCCTGCTCTCAGTTCCTGCATGCCGGGCCAGAGCTGCCCCTGGCTGCTGCAAGGAGCAATGGAAGGAAAAGTCCTGCTTAGCCCCGGCATCCCTAAGCTAGAGCATGCTCAGTGCAGACTGCAATTTTGGAGAATTTAGCTACTGAACTCTAACGAATCTCTATTGAACGCGTGAAAACTGAGATTTGCAGCAACTCATAACTTGGCCGAATTTGGGCGGATTTTTAATCGCATGGCAAAAAGTGAAAGCCTGACATCACAGTGATTCCCCCTGCCAATTGTCAAGTCCCTGCTCCAAAGCATAAAGATGCTAGAGCTTCTCAACACAATGGTTACAAGATCTTTTTTTAACATGGGCAAAAGAAACATATTTTTCCCTAGCCTCATTCTGAGAAATGGCTGAACCGTTTTTGCTGAAGTTTGCCAAAAAATCATGTGTGAGGCAGACACTCCTCAAGGAAAATTTCAGCTCAAATGATTATACATAACTGAAAACAGCATCTTAACTGTAGGGACTGCTACCTGTATCACCTATAATTTAGAGAGCTAAATAAAATTGGCCTCATTTTTTCCAGAGCTAATAAGTGCTTAAAGTGCTTGCAGTGGAGATTATGGGTACTCAGTACACCTGATTATCAGGCTACTTTTATTTAGGAGCCTTACTTCACAAAACATTAGCTGTTTTGTCCAGGCAACCATCAGTCGCGACCAGGACTTTGCATAGCATTTCTCTCAAATTTAAGAACACAGCTGCCAACTCACCCACAAATTAAGTTATTCACCCCCCAGCTAGCAGAAAATGTTTAATCATCAGAGAACATTGAGATCAGAACTTATTGCTATGCTGCCATTCAGACAATGCAGCACTCTCTGCAAGAGTATGAGGCAGAGACTCCCATCTGCGGAAGAGGTGGGTGCTCCCTGCATTCACACAATGGGTACTTGCTCATGTTAAGGGAAGAGGGAGGGGGTGGAGGAGGGAGAGAGAGACGAGAACTCTCAGAGCTGCAGACACAAAACAAAAAGATCACAGGAGCAGGCTGATGCCTCTCCCAGCAAGTCCCATCACTTACCAGGTAGATGGCTCCACTGAACAGCAGGAGTTGAGAGGGTCAGATCAGTCCATCCTATTAATTCAGTGGGCTCTTGGGGAAGATCATGATATCCTAGGGCACAGAGAGAGCTGTAGCATTACAATTTCTGCAGCTCATCTTAGACCAAGAAAAAGGGGGTACGTCTCTCCTCAGGAGACAATGTATGTGTGAGTGGGGGGACAGAAGGCAGAGAAGCAGGGATAGGGTTGTTCTGCAGCACAGGAGCAGTTTGACCAATCAAGTTGCTCCTATCCCAAAAACCAAGAAAATTCAATCATCCCCCTCCTCCACAACTACACACACATTTTCTAAAAAATCGTATTAATGCAACATGAGATTTTAGAACATATGACCAATTTAATCCCTGGTGCAATTCCATTGGTTTTGGAATTACATCAACAATGAATCTGGCCCATAATCAGGCAATTCAAAAGTATTGTTTCCAGCACAACCTTCAATCCCCCACACTTAGGGTGACCAGACAGCAAATGTGAAAAATCAGGACAGGAGGTGGGGGGTAATAGGAGCCTATATAAGAAAAAGACCCCAAAATCAGGACCGTCCCTATAAAATCAGGACATCTGGTCACCCTACCCACACTGAACACACTGTGTAGTAAGACATGCATTTAACACCACTCTCAGTAATACAAAATACTAAATATGTGCAACGGTGCTCGGTGTTACAATTGGTCTCGGTATCAAAGCTCTGAATGTCCCGACTTTGGTGCATTTAAGATCTCAATAATAATATTATATGCAGTTTTTTTGAATAATAAAAGGATTGTAATCTTCAGAGGTGTTTAGAATCTACAACTCTTATGAAAGCCACTGGGGATTTGAATGCTCAAACTCTCAGTAGGCCAATAAAACGACATCCTATGCAAAAGACTATTTATTTTAATCTAGGGTTGTGCAATCAAACCTTTGAATTATAAAACTGAGCCCATAATTCACAGCTCCTTATTATTTATTATACATATGGACCTAAGAGGTGTCCCATCACTCTTTAAGAAATAATTTTGAAGTTTATTTTTACAGTATACAAAGAAATTATATTTAGGGGTTAAAAGCAAATATCACAGTATCAAGACAAAATGAACCATGGAAAGCTGGGAAACAGCATATACCACTGACTCCTATCATTAACCAGCTACGTTCTAGTTGGTTTATAACATTACACAGCAAATATTTGAACATTTTTGTATTGATCAAGAAAGTTAAAAATATTTTACAGTAAAATATGTACAAATAAATTAGATACAGCATAGATTATCATTTTATGTGGATTGTTCTAAACATAGTATCTTTATTATAAAGACAATAATTTACAAGAACATTATTATGCATGTGCATGTATATATAGATACACACACAAAAACAAACATATATACTTTAATTAAATGGGTATTTTACTGTGATATATTCAAGATATTTTTAAAAAATAAAACTCTGTGCACAGGTCTAACACCTAATTGGCATAAATAGTTTACCATAACAAGATAAAAGACTGCAATGTAACATCTCGTATCAAATGCAAAAAGATAAGAGTATCTCACATAGCTTAAAAACGAAGCAGCTATATTGAAAAAAGATTTGAAATGTTTTCGTTCATAGTGTAACAAGAGATTTTATAGTTTTCTGGTTACAGCAATAAGAGTTACAAGTATAAAAGGGAGTGATCAGCGTCTCGCATGTTAACACTAGATGGCCTCTGTTCTGCTTTTTTTACGCTAATACTTTCTGGTTTATAAAGTTTACCTTGGTCAACTGACCAAATTTCAGGTGCTGAGTCCTCACCCATACAGACATCTGATAAGGTTTCTATTTTGGACCAATTATGGTCTTTTTTGGTAGTGAGATCTATTAAGAAACTTCTCCAGTGAGCATTCCGGTCATGGATCTAGGGGGAAAAAAACAAAGATTATAGAGGAAAGAAAAGTTTCTGAAGAATAATTTAAAACAATTGAAGATTTTACTTTTATTAACCATGTTCAAAATGGAATAGGGTTGATTTTAACATTCCAATGCTGCACTGGGATGGGCGAAGGGGTTAGCTGGGCTCTGAAATGTGAGAATGATTCTACATTACTAACTCTGTTCCAGGTCCACTGCCATGCCACAGTGTTGGCAGAAACTGAGCACACAGGTGAATGCTAGACTTGACCAAGGGAAAGTTCTGATTTCCTCCCCAAAGAGGTCACTTCAAGGACCCAAATGGCGTTCTAGCGATCTTGCTCGCAGTCCAATTTATCACCGGGAGCTGTGTGCCCTATCAAAACTCTGAGAATGCATCTGAAGTTTCAAGAAATGGTAAGACCCTATATCTTGTATCTACAGTATGAGGGCTAAGCCACTTTCCACCGCACTTGTGATCAGAGCCCTGCAACCTGACCCAATCCCAATGGAACCTGATCACAAGGGCTGGATCCGGATCAGGTGGGAAAACAACCGGACGGTCTCTGGCTGGGGTGGGCTCTCCTCCTCCTGCCTATGGCAGCTGCGTGCCCTGCTCCTGCCGGCCACTGCCACCTTGCTGCTCTGCGTGTGCTACAGTCACAGAGTGAGTGTGCCAAAGAGTGGCAGTGACTCTCATTCCATAGCGCACACAGCATAGTGGGGGGCAGCAGCCAACAGGCCGTGCAGCACATGCAGCTGCCACTGTGCCAGCCCCGCCGGCAGGAGGTGACGGTGACGCTGACTCAGGTTCGCAGGAAGGATTGGGGTCAGGTTGGGTCTGAGGCTCAGGTTGGGTGGGCTTGGGTCTGCAGACCTCTAATTGTGATTAAAAAAAACAACAACATCGCTATAGCAGCATCCTCTTTACATTAGCTACGTTCTTGTCTTTCCTCATGTTTCATTTCCTCTATGATTAGATTTTCCTGTTTAAAAATAACTGGATAGAATTGGATTTTAAGACCTGTTTGGCTGTCAGGCCTGGGAATTGGTACGTCATCTGGGAGTTAGCGTTTCTCTTCCTCAATCTAACAGCTCAGAAATACATCTTTAGATTGCAAACTCTATGGGGCAGAGACTTTGTACAGTACCTATCACAACAGGGCTCTGGTCCATGACTGCGGCACCTAAGTGCTACAACTCTATAAATAATAGGTCTGTCAATTAATTGCAGTTAACTCAAGCAATTACCGCAAATGATCTCCTCTGGAATGGTGGTTGAAGCATGAAGGGGCATACAAACGTTAGCATACCTGGCATGTAAATACCTTGCAATGCCAGCTGCAGGAGTGCCATGCAAACATCTGTTCTCACTTTCAGGTGCCATTGTAAACAAGAAGCGGGCAGCATTATCTCCCATAAACGTAAATAAACTTGTTTGTCTTAGCAACTGGCTGAACAAGAAGTAGGACTGAGTGGACTTGTAGGCGCTAAAGCTTTACATTGTTTTATTTTTGAGTGCATTTATGTAACAAAATAATTCTCTATTTGTAAGTTACAAGAAATACTATTTCTTTTATCTTTTTTACAGTGCAAATATTTGTAATAAAAAATAGTAATATAAAATCAGCACTGTACACTTTGTATTCCGTGTTGTAATTGAAATCAATATATTTGAAAATGTAGAACACCCAAAAATATTTATAACACATTTAAATTGGTATTCAATTATTGTTTAACAATGCAATTAAAACTGCAATAAATCGCAACTATTTTCTTAAATCTCATGATTAATTGCGATTATTTTTTGTAATTGTTTGATAACCCTAATAAATAATATTAAAAGCCTGATGTAATTGTAAATTAGCACCCTAATCCTCCCCCTCATCCTATCAGGATTTATTTTTCATAAGGAATCAAAATTGAAGCATCAACTCTAATCCCTAGTAAATTAAAAAAAAAAAAAAAAAAAAAAACAGCTGCAGAAATGTAGCTCCCCACTCCTTCACCCCTAATTAAACCTCTGTACCGCAGTTTAATTGCTACAAAGGCAGCAGAGAGGCAACGTACCGATACGTGTCTCCGTAAGGTGGACATGTCTGTGAAGGTTCTCTCACAAGCCCTGCACTTGTATGGTTTTTCACCGGTGTGAATACGTTGGTGACGCCTGAGAGCTCCTTGCTGAGTAAATGTTTTTCCGCACTGTTCGCAGAAATATGGACGTGTCTCTGCAAATGAACAAAACCCACAACCGCTGAAGATCAGTCCTTTTGGGCCTGATCCTGCAGACGCATCGGTACATGCTTGACTTTACTTAGGTGAGTAACAGGACCATTTATGTGAGCAATGCTGGATTAAAGCACTTGCAGAACAGCCCTGGCTCCCACAATTACATGAATATTTCTAGCCCCGCTGGTTGTGAAGAAAAGCTTGAAAACGTGACCCAAGTGAAATTGATCCAGCAGGGTCTGCCTGAGTCTCCAGAGGGAGGTGTAACAGCCAATAGAACCAGGGAGGTAGCTACCTGGCCCCATCCTCCCTAGCAAAGCAGATCAGGCCCTTCTTCTGGGGGATGTTACCCTGCTCCTGGCTCCTGCCACCAGTCCACCCTCTGCTAGGGTGATGGCCACGGAGGATGGGCATTTGGGGGGGTGTCTGGGGCTCTGGATTGCTTTAATCAGGCTCTGCAAATAATTAAAGTTAAGAATGTTGCTAAGTGTTTGCAGGATAAAGGTCTTCGAAAAAGAATTTCCAAACAATGAGTCAAACTGCATTTGGCCCAATGTAACTAACTACCGTACACTGTATCAAGGAGGCAGTGCAGGGTATATTTGTTATTTTTTAAATACTGTATGAAATTTTTTTCCTTTACAAAAAATATGAGTGTAGGGGAAAGGTTGCGGAAGCTTGGCGAGGAGCTAAGTGGCGGACCGAGTATGTGACTGAATGCGAGTGGAAGATGCAGGCTGTGCAGTTGAAGGCCGTGCAATGAACCTTGTCCGGCAGATCCTGCCAAAATGTAGTTTAGTAAAGTTCAGCATGTTTTTGTCTGTAAACAAGTCAGCTTATATAATATGTATGATGCAATGAATGTTGCCAGCTGTTGACCCCATGTAACCTTGAGATAAGCGCGGGGGGGATGTAGCATTGCAGCGGACTCCCTTCA